GCACCCAGATCTCTGCATACCCCTACAATACCACCTCCTCCATCTTCACTTCTCAGAGACTCCAATGTGGCCCAGAAACCCAGGGAGGCAGAATAGCTCGAAGTCACTGAGTCAATCAAGTCAGGCAAGTTCATCCTGCAAGAAATAATAACAACTACCTAAGCACTCAAGAAATGTTGCAGAGGCAGGCAGAGATGTTCTCCAGAAACCATATGCTCTAGAAACAGCAAGAGAAAGACAGGAGAGCTGCATCCTGACTATCCAGAGAATATTCCCTGTCTGCTTCTCCCTCATTGACAGTCCTTTATATAGATTGGACTTTACTGGTTACAAAGTGCTTTCTACATCCTTGACTCTGAGTTCTGGTATGACAGAGGCATTAACTACATCACAGAAAGTTAACATACCTTATCTTGGAAAAGGAAAGACTACTCAAACATTAAAGATGAGCACAAGGAGGCACAGTGATCAGTAGTGAAAGAGAACTGATCCGGGAGTTGGAAAACAGGCACCCGAATCCCTCATCTAGGGACAAAATCCTGGCTTCACAGGATTGGAAGACAGTGTAATAACATATTGTTCCATATCCTAGCCAGCACCTGCATCTTTTATTAACTCTCAGCTTAACCCCGAATAGGTCAGTTAACCTCCTTCGGGGTCTCTGTTATCCCAGTATACTTTAGGAGTTAGATCAGATATTTTCTAAGAACTCTTAACATACCTGAAATTATTTGATTCCAGGATCCTAAAACTTAGAAATTTAACTCCCAAAAGCTAAGTTTCAACAAAACTAGCTCAGACAGATAACTTTTTCTAAGATGTACCAAAACTCCTCTAGAGATCCTCTCTCACAAAGAACAGCAAACACCAGGGACTCGGGACTCTTGGAGCATGAGCAAGTGCAAACACCCTGCCTCTCTCATTCATCTTGTCTCTGGTCTAGGGGACAAGAGCTGCATTAGTCACAGATGCACTGGGTCCTTAAGAGGGTCTGTGGATCAGACATTCACGCAGGCATCTCACTAACTAAAACTTGAGAAGGATCAACAGATCTTCTGAAAGATTAAGAAAGAAGAAAAACACTGAGGGCAAGGGCTGGGAATAAAGGGGTATAATAGAGTTAAGGGAGAAAATACTGAGTTGGTTTATGCTGCTTTGTTGGACGACAGTCTGAGATGAAATCATGTTTTTTGGAACGTAATTTCCTTGACTGGCATTTGTAGGAGACGTTGACACCCATGGCCTGGGAATCTCCCAGAAGATGTTTTTGGAGCTAGGGCCACAAATTGTTGCTGAACAAATAACTAGAAGCTCCTGGGTAAGAACAAGGGATGTTTGTGTTTAGGAGAATGGGGATGGTAACTAGTTATCCACAAGGGAGAGTTAACCCTGGGCACGCTATAGATAGGGGGAGCCCGGGATTTGGGGGGATCCCCAGTGCGAAAGGAGAAGGCGGGGCTGGAGGACCTCAGGCTAGTGGGCACGCCCTTGCCCAGGCCTGCAGTGGCCGCTCCCGCCAGCTGGCCCACCGCCCTGCCTGACTCCCCTCCCTCCACCCCAAGACTAAGAGGGGTGCGTGCCCGGGGTCCCACTGCTGAGCCAGCTCCCTCCCTCTGCTCCACGCCCGAGCAGGGCTGGCGGAGCTCCCGGGGGAGAAGATGGAAGGCACCACCAATGCACGGAGGGGGTGTGGGAGGCGGGGGGAATGGGGAATGCGGCAGCCTGGCCCCCCCGCGACCAGCCCAGCCCCCCGTCACCCCCCCTCCACCTCCAACCGAATGGTTTGCTCCGAGCGCCCTATTTAATCCCCGCGACTGCAGCAGCGCCGGCTCCCTCCCGGTCCCCGCCTCGGCCCCGGGCTTGGAAGCGGCTCGGGGGGCGCCCTTTCGGCCAGCGACGTTGTCGGCCCCCTCCCCAGCCCCAGTCCCTGGAGACCCACGATCGCCAGCGCCCAGCCAGGGAGCCGGCCGGGAAGCGCGATGGGGGCCCCCTCCGCCCTGGCCCTGCTCCTGCTCCTCGCCTGCTGCTGGGCGCCCGGCGGGGCCAACCTCTCCCAGGACGGTGAGTGAGGGAGGGGGCGGCGCCAGGGGAGGTGGGGACTGACCCGAAGCCCGGGTTCGGATTGGGAGCCTGTTGGCTTTGTTTGGAACCGGGGGGGTTGAAGTCGCCAGCCGCTGTAATACCCTGGTGTCTGTCTCGGAGCATCCCTGTCTCCGAGGACCGTGGGGTGTGCCGGCGTGTGCACCCTCCCGTGTACACCGTCGAGTGGGTGTCATCTGCGTATGCGCCCGGGGTTTGCATCTCCTCGGGGTTGAGGTCTATGAGGAGCAGCCCGGGGTCTGGAGGTGTTGATGTCCGTGTGTGCGTGTGTGTGTGCGTGTGTGTGTGTGTGTGTGTGTGTGTGTGTCTGGGTGTGCGCGTCTGTGTTGGTGTCTGGTTTTGCGTTTCTGTGTCAGTATCTGTGTGTATGTCTGTGTCGGTGTGTGTTGGGGGCGGAGTGAGATTTGTCGCCGTTTCAGTCAGGGCGTGTGTCGGCTGTTTGTGTATGTATGTCGGTAGGGGTTGGGTGACCAGAGCCATCCCCCAAACTGCTGTGTGCAAACATTTCTGCTCCCCCGCCCGTCCCCCACCACCACCACCACCACCCGCGGGCGAGCTCCGAGTGGGCAGGGAAGGGGGCCTGGGTGAGGCTGCCGAGGGGGGCGTGGGCCAGGGAAGGGGGGCTTCTCCTTGGAGCAAAACAACAACACAGGGCGGAGGGGGCCCCAGTTTGGCTGTATCCCTAGCGGTGGCAGAATCGGAAAAAGACGCCCAGACAGGAGAGGGGGAAGAAGGTGGAGGGGGAGGTTGGGCAGAAGGAAGGATCAAGATGTTTGGGGAGGAAGACACATGGAAAAATCTAAAGCTTTCCTGGGCTGAACACTGATTTCCCCCAATTCGGGGTGGGGTAGGTGGTACCTAGCTCCGTTACCCAAGTCTACAACTCAAACCTTTGGTTTGCAAAGGTAGAAGGAGGAAGGAAGGGAGTCAGGGGAGAAAAGAGGCGGGGCCAGGGGTGAGGGGACTTGGGGAAGAGCCCCTCCCGCTCAGGGCCAGGCTATGTAGGTCAGCGCTGTGGGGGCACCTCAGCCTTCTTAAAGGCTGCTGATGGTTAATGGGGTGGCATGGGGGCACTTTGTAGGGAGAGCAGGAAGGGAGCCTCAGCTCCGAGCCTCAAGTCCCCAGAGGAGGGAGGGCCGGCTGTGAAGGGACTACAGGAATGTATCCTCCTCCACTCTCCTCCGCCTCGGTCAGAGGTGGGCTTGTGGGGGAGGAGAAGAGGGAACAGGACCTCTGCGGAGCAAAGAGAAGTGAGGAGAGCTGGGGGGGAGGGCGGCTCTGCCCGGCCAGATGCCAAGGAAAAACAGAAGAACCGCAGGGGAGGAGAAAAGGGGAGGCGGCTCCTGGGCTTTGGACCCAGTGGCCAGCAAGGATGGGCACAGGGCGGGGCGGGGTGGAGAGGGGAGGGATTGAAAGTGGAGAGGATGATGTAGAGAATTTCATCCGGAGGAAAACAGGCGAGGAGCCAGGGTGCTGGAGGAATTATAGCTCCACCTTGCCTGACCTCCTCCCCCAGCCCTGTCTCCATCATAGTGCAAGAGCTTCCCCTGGTATGGAGACCCTGGGGATCCCCTCCCTACAGTAGACTGGCTGACCTCTTCCACCCTCTACTCATCAGACTCCCTGAGGGGAGTTCCTGCCCAGTCACCACAGAGACAGGAGCCTCTCCTCTCCCCTCCATGGAATCCCCATCTCCAGAGAACTGTTCTGATGACCCTAGTCACAGAGGAGGTGAGCAGAGTCCTGGGGGAGAGAGCAGGCTAAGTGGAAGGCAAAGAGAGGCTGCTGGCTGTGTGTGCCTCAGTAATGACCCTCCTCCTGGGCCTGGACTTTCAGCTGCAGCCCCTGGCCTTCCCTTCCTGCTTACTGAGTTAAAGGGGACAAGTGTCACCCAAACTGTCACTGTTTGGCAGTGGGAACTGATGTCCTCCCCAAAGCCTGAAGCTCTTCTACTTCAGGGTATAAATGTTAGAGACTAGAGTAAATCTGTGCACTAGCCCAGTCTTCCTTCATCAACTGCACTATTCTTTCTTGGTCCTCAACTTGGGCACCCAGCCCCTCCCTACTCAGGTTGAGAGTTGAGAGAAAGAGAAATGCTTGATTCTCAAATTCAGAAATAATCCTCAGAGCAGTGGCTTGAGGCAAAGAGTGGAAGGCAGAAACTTCTGAATGGGGACTTTCTAAGGGAAGAGGTGGGAGGTAGGGAGATGGGAGATGGGGTCCTTTTCCAAAGAAAAGTCACATTGTGCATGGTTTTTGCTTGTAAAGCATCAGGTCTACAGAAAGTGGGCATCTGTCCAGTGGGCAGTATCTCGGGATATACTGATGTTTGAGACATAACCACAAGATCTTCCATCTTTAAGTAACTCTGCCCCTGAGGTTCTGGATCTGAGAAGGCCAGCTGTGATGGTGGGAGGTAGGTGCATGGATTGAATGCTCACAGATAGCAGTCCTGAAGGTCATTCTGACCAGTATCATGTAGGAGGTGTGTCTCATACCCCTGAGTTGTCCTGGAGGCCCTGGGCGTGGGACGAGGTAGTACATATCTTAATGGGTAATGTTTGACCCAAACGAGGAGAGATGTGGTTGTGAAGGTTTAAAACGCCCTAATATCCTAATGCTTTTGAATGGTCAGGGGTGTTGTGGGTGGGTGGCTATTTGCATTTAGAATAAGGAAAACAAACTGTATGGACTGCTGGGATAGATAGCTCCCCAGAGTACAGCATGAATTTTTTAAGCTTGCTAAGGTGAAAGAGGGATGGAGATTCAGGAAAAGGCAAGGAACTGATACCTGAACCTGGCCATTAGTGCTCTGGCTAAAAGCTCAGAATTTTGCCACCTGTCCCTCCTTCTTATGTTTCTCCACTGGTATTGGCAGAAGTTGGCAACTCCAGGTTTGAGGGATGTAAGGCCTAGGATTGTACAATGCCAATGCGGTCAGCTCTGGTGCCCAGTTTGACATTCAACATTGTGACCAGCCTCCTTTGGATTCTTCCTTCCCCAGTATGCTCAGCACTCTGATTTGACCTAGCAGAGAGACAGATGGACGGACGGCCTTGTTTTGTTTCAGGCCAGGTTATAGCAATTTAACCTTGTGCTTCACTGTCCCATACCTGAAAGTCTTTTTCCTTCCCAGTGACCTTCTGTCCACTGCCATCTATTCTCTAGCCCCCTGGCCATCTGCCCAGTGTGAAGATCGTGCCCAATGTGCTCGAGAAGTCCAGCGGGCCTTCACTCCACTGCTGCCCACGGATCTGCTTGGCAGAGCTATTCCTTCCAGTTTCTGGTCTAGCTGCAGTGGTAACTGTTCTGCTTCTGTTCCTGTTCTCTTCCCAGTGGCAGCTAGTAGGAAGGATCTGCTCTCCCTTAAGACGCAGGCATCTTCTGGCACAGGAAAGCTGAGACCGTCACAGAGAAATGATGATAGAGTACAGTTTAGTGAATTCCATGAAGAACCAGGCTGTCTGATGTGGAGCCCAATCCATGGACTATCAACAGCCTTCCCAGCAGTCATGCCAAACGCTGTATCCTCAGCTCTCCCTGGGTCTGGCAGCATGGCTGGTTTCAGTAGTTTTCTCTAGGCCTGTGGTTCTTTCAGTGAAACTCCTTCTCAAACAAGCAAAACAGATCAAAGGAGAATGATTCTTGTTGAAACAGAGAAGTAAGACCTGTAGCCCTTGCTGCCTTCCCCCTTGGCTTCCCGCCCTCTTAGAATCCTCAAGGAACAACCTGGGTTGCAATTCAAAAATCCTCTGCCTGAGGCTGAGAGTAGGGAAGGAGCCCGGTTTAGACCCTTAGGCTTCCTTCCTTTCCTTTTCCAACTGGAGAAGAAAGGAGGTCCAGATCTAATTTCAAGAGTGTCTTGTTTGGGATATTCAGTATTCACTTAGAGAGGGTGACTCATAGTTCTGCAGCCATAAGATTCTACAGATGGCATCTTTTTGGTGTTCTGGTCACTTTGAAACAGCAGACTGTGTAGTCGTGCCATTGCTCCGTAAATCTTTAGATTTTTATTTTGGTACTCCTTGCTGCTGTCAACTACTTTCTGGTAATTCAAACAATGTGTATTATGGGATCAAAAGCTGTTTTTCCTTAAGTCACCTGCTAGGAAAACTATCTTCATAGTTATCACCAGAGAGATAAAATGGAAGGAACTGTCTACTAGCTCAGCCATCCCTTTTTGTTATTTAATTCTCAGTCAGTGGAACCTCATCTAAGGATGGCAATCTAGGTTCCAGATTCTCTTTGAAAAGCAAGCTGTGGACTGAAACCAACTCCTTGCTGACTAGTGAAATGGAAAAAATCCAGGGCATTAGAAAGCTTGGGTAATTATATCTTCTTTTATTTTTAATTTTACAATTTCATATTTCCTGTTTAACCAGTGGCTATAGGCCAATATACTGGAACATTTCGTTTCCTGTATGGGGTCATGTCCCAGAGGTCCACCCATAAGCTCTGAGAATAGCAATCCTCATGGGAATGCTCCTAAGAGAAAGACAGAGAGAAACAAACCCATCAAAAAGAGAGCCTGGAGAAGCAAGCCATTAGGAAAAGAAACAGGTCTCTAAGAGCTCAAATTAAGAATAAATACTCCATGTCATTGTAAAGCAAAGAAGAATAAGTCTCTAGGCCCAAAGACACATCTCTACCTCTAAGATCAACAGCAGTGGTGATTCATTACAAAGTCAGACCAGCTGATACTCGGGGCTCATAACTATGCAAGTAAAAATCCAATCCAATTCTATTATGCATGACAAACCCATCCCTTCTAGTAATAAGAAGCCAAACTCTCAAGAGTCATGAACATCTGAAGCTGTTAAGTTTCACAAAACAGAGGCTCAGTAAAACTACACACTTCTCACTGAAGAAGCAAGTATGGAAGAAAGAATCACTTATTCCTTGAATAAAATTTCCCTTAGGGTTGAAAGAAAGTGACCAACTTTCCCAACTAACATGGAGGT